GCACCAACAACTTTGAGTTCTTGGATCGTGGAATATCTGGGTATCAGTGGGGCTGTCAAAGTCAGTAAGAATGAAGCCACAGCACGCACTACTAGTAAAAATGCATAGTATACAGCTATGTCTAGCTAGAGTAATAGTAAGTAATGGAAATTGCTTGCTTAATTATTTACTCCTTTTACCCCTCGTCGAGGAGCGTAGGCCGTCCATCAGCACTCTCTGTCCCACCCTGTCCTGGACAATCCTTTCCAGTTGCTATTCATACTTTTCATGTCTGCTTCTAGGTCCCAAATTAGTGTGTTCTTTGGCCTTCATCTTTTCCGTTTCCCTTCACGATTCCAAGTTAAAGCTTACCTCGTGGTGCGATTTGGTGATTTCCGTAATGTATATCCTATCCATTTCTATCGTCTTTTCCTAATTTCCTCCTCAACTCGAAGCTAGATTGTTTTCTCCCACAGTGGTTGTTGCTGATTGAGAATCTTACGTGGACAAATGTTTATAAAAACGTGTACCTTTTGTTGATGGTCCTAGTAGTTCTCTACAGTAGAACTGTCTTGACGTTCGTATGGAAGATTCTGACTTTGCTGTTAGTTTACAGTTGTTTTGATTTCCATATGTTCTTCGGTTGTAGGAATGCGGCACTTGTTTTGCCAATCCCCACCTTTACGTCTGCATCGGATCCGCATTGTTCATCGACGATGCTGTTCAGGCAGGTACGTCAAAGTTTCCCCTTCCAGAGCTCCTCCATCAAGTGTGATTGGATTGGTGTTTTCTGTATTGCATTTGAGGATCTTAGTATTTCTCTTGTGAATGTTGAGGCCTACTGCTACAGGGGTTGTTGTTAAATTGGCTGTCTTCACTTGCATTCGTTGGTGTGTATAGGATAGAAGAGTTTGGTCATCTGTGATATCCAAATCTTCTATTTCAACGACGTTCCGTGGTGTCGCCATTTGGTCTGTACACGACTTATCCTTTCAAAATTCAGCCTGTTGATCTCGAAGTCGGGCGTCTACTGTGTCTTTCATCCGGTTCAGCAACACTCTGTAGAAAATCTTTCCTGATACCGATAGTAGTGTGATGTCTAGGTAGTTCTCACATTTGCCTAGACCTCCTGTCTTTGGTATCTTGATGAGGTATCCTTCTTCCTAGTCCATCGGCTCTTGTTCTTCCCCCCAATCTTCTCGAATAGAACGTGAAGCATACTTGCAGTTGCTTCTATGTGTAACTTTAGTGCTTTGGCTGGTTTGTTGTCGGGTCCTACTGATTCCGCACTCCTGATTTGTCTGATGTCTATGTTGATTTCTTTGGTTGTTGTTGGAGTGACATTTATAGGAAGGTCTGTTTGTTCTGCTTCGATGTAAATTGAATCAACTGACTCACAATTATAATTACTGAAATGAATGTGTGTTAATTTAATTCGTTTATTTATTTACCCTGAAGAAGTGGCTTACAGTAAGTCGCAAATAGTCAGAAATGAAATTCTACTCATTGGGATATAACAAAAAAGTTTTTTTATTGACTTTCTACCCAATGATCAATTTACTTGAAACTATCAAATCCAACCTTGACATTGGTACCTACAAACTCATTATTAATGGTAATTTATGTCATATAACAATGTATCACAGAATACAAGCCAGTTTACATGTGAGATCAAAATACCACAAACGTTACGGGGTTTGCTTTAATAGGTTACTCAGTTAGGCTAATACGTAATATGATGTAGAATAAGGGGGTAGATTCGTGTACATAAGAATATGAATAGTGTTATTGAAGATGCCACAGGTATTCAGAGCTTGATAACGCCTTTACACGTAACCCTTTTATAGTCGAAGTATACCAACTCAGCGAAATCGAAAGTTAGAAATGTGGGGGATCTAAGATATTGAGATGTTGGAGAAGATTTGTAGCTCAGGTGGATGATTTTGATTGGGTTTTGTTCTCTGAGCTGCATGGTTGGTTGTGGAGCTTTCATTGTTCTTCTGAACAACATCATCAGTTTGTACAAAGTCAAAAAAGTTCTGGCGTCGACATAACTAAAGGCCATACGTACTGACCATAAGGTTCTAAAACCTTTGGTGGTAGCGTGCAGTAGTTTTTAATTCTTGGCTAACGATGACTCCCAAGTCGTAGTGTGTCTGAACAACAGGTAGTTCAGTGTTGTTTACCATGTATGTACCTGTACTTTGATGACCGATATGCATCACAATACACTTGGGAGTACTTATCGGCATCTGCCAAGTTCGAGATTATTCGGGTCTAAGCTATCACCCTTACGTCGTATCGCTCTCCATATCTTGAAATTGTCAGCATATAGCAAGACCGATGATGATAACGGACGATGAAGGTCACTTACATACAAGAGGACTAACACTGGTCCCAAAACTATACCCTGATGCACTCCGCTAAGCACAGATTCTCAGCTAGATAACTTTGAGTTTACCCGTACTCTTGGTTAGAGCCCAATTAGGAAGTCTGCAATCCACATCAATAGATTGCTTCCAACACCGACATTTCTTAGCTTACATAACGGCCGGTTGTGCGGGACTTTGTCAAAAGGTTTGCTGGAGTCAATGTAGGCTACGTCTATAGGTTTTTGAGAGCGCACCAGCTTTGACGGGAATAATCTATTCTAAAACCATGCTGCTTATCCGAAAGGATCCGATTTTCACCAAGGCACTTAAACAGCTCCTTACGAATAAATTTTTCCAAAATTTTAACGACCACGATAGTTAGGCTAACGGGTCGGTAGTTCTCAGGTTTATGTTTCATACCTGTTTTGAAGAGAGGACTTACTATGGCGCTCTTCCAGTCTTTTGGTAAACGCCCCTGGGTTACGGATGGATTAAAGCATGTATTCAAAGGGTTCACAACGAGGTTATGTAATTCACTTAGTAACCTAGGATGCAGTTCATAGGGTCCTGTGGATTCGCCTATGTCAAGCATACTTAGCAGACCAAAGAAATTGAGTTCTTTAATAGTTACGTTGTCCAGTGTGTGTGTGTGGGGGATTTGTATGAACTGACGAGAAGGGCGTTTCCACGGTGTATACATTGCTAAAGTAGTTTGAGAATACGTGAACCTTACCAAAGTCGTCCTTCACTGATTATGAAGCATAACTGTCTCCTCATAGTGTTGGAATACTTTTTCTTCTTTGTTCTTCTGGTTTATATACGAATACAGACGTTTAGGGCATTCTATAAATTCCTTAACAATTTTTTATTTGTACAACCTTCTAGACTTACGGAGTGTAGAGGTACAGGTATTTCGACATTCTCAGTCCCCAGTAACCTGAATCCATTCCACATTCTTCTCCTCTTGCGGAGAAGGGTGCGGACCTCCTTACTGGATTGTGGTGTAGAGTTTCTTGGACCCATTGGTGCAGTCCAGAGGGTGTGGGGTGCAGCAACGTTTTAGTATAACCTTCGAAATACATCCCAAGCTGTTTCAATTGGGGGAAACTGGCTCTATTGTCCAATATATTGACGATGCTGAGTGTATAATGTCTTGTATATTTGCTTTCCAGACGTTAGGTCTGGATTAAGCTAACGCGTGCTCAAAGGTTAGGTCAAAGGTTAGAACTGCATGATCACTTTTACCTAGGTGTGGCATGTAATCTAGGTTCGTGATGTCATCCTCATGATCGGTCAACATAAGATCTAGTAAGGGTGATTCAGAGTCCGGGTCGTACCTAATCGCTTGCTTCACATGTTTTACCAGGGAACATGTGATAACCGCATCAACTAGGTCCTGCTCGAAAGAATTTTTTGACAACTCAGTTCTCAGATTTATTCAGTCTACCGTAGGTGCATTAAAGTCTCTTAGGATTAGACATCGACCACTTTGTGACCAAGTATTGAGACTGCTTAGCAGCACCCCATTCACCTCACAGGTTGGACTACGATAGACCGAACCAATCAGCAGCTCTTGTCCCTTGCATTTCAAGCGGCAACTAACTAATCCACACGTCTTACTCTCATGGGATACACTGTCGATAATGGCAAATGCGATAGTATTCCTAATGAATAGAGCTACTCCCCCTCCATTGCGCTTCTGAATTTCGCCGGCTCTTACCAACATAAAACCATCAAAATCAAGTTCCATAATATCTATAGGCTGTGTCAGCCAAGTTCCTGTGACTAAGATTACATCTGGCTTGGTAGAGTCAATCTGTACACCTATTACCGACCGCTTATTGAGCAAGCTTTGGGCATTAGTGTAACATATACGAAGCCTATTTAAATGAATTCGTGCTGCACCAATAGCGGTTTCGGCATCATTCTCCGTCGAAGCCTTACAACCCGAAAATTTACAATTTTTATGTCCTTTTCGCCAGGGTCTAACATAAGTTGTAGTCCCTTTTCGGCTACTCATCTTTTTACACGGTTTGCGAGCGGAAAGTCCCTACTGACGAAAGTTCCTGAACCCTTTAGTTTGTGTTCATTTTTTAATATTTAGCCCCGTTCTTTAGGATATCTAAATACTACTTTAAGTATCCTGGTTTGATTTTAAGTTCGCTTAGCTACCTAGTCTGTACATCTTTAGTATCCTGAAGCACAAGCTGATTTAGTGGCTGTTTTATCAACCTAATGTCGTGATTAAAACGACTTTTAGGTTCTGAGCTTTTGTTCTCCTTGATTCTATAAAAGATAACCGGCCTGTCACTGTGATCAGTCATTAAATTCTCGGTTTTGGATTGGATTTTCTTTTATATCGTTCTGTCGTTTCTTGTTCACGACCTGTACCTATTCATCAACTTTCATTGGAATAGCAACCACATTCGTGTCAAACAAACCGTGGGATTCCGGAAAGTTATCGACGACTTGGGCAGTCAGTTTTTTGTTGTCTGCTACCAACAGATCTGGCTTTGAGCCTGGGATTCTTAGGCGTTTCCTGCTGACCACCATTTAGAGGATAGGGCACATGTTCCGGGAATCACAAAGTCATGTTGTTAATAATCGTTCTCCATTCATCAGAAGTGAATTCCGAAGATCAACTAATCCACTACCCGTCGAGGAAATGTTGAAGCTTGAATGACACCACTCGCTTTTAAACGCGCTCAGAAGTCAGTTTTAAGAATGTTCGTGTTCCTGGGGATTTTGCTTTTGAAGCTAGCTTTAGTTTGCAGTGGGTTAGAAGGTATTTCAGTTTGTGTAGTCACAATGCTTTAGTTCGTCCTAAGGCTAATGGAGAAGTTGAAACTTATATGTCGGCGGTAAAACTGGAAGGTCTTCCGTATATCAAGCGTGCAGTAAACATCTCAGTTTCCGTGACTGTAAAATATGAAATCACAGGAGTTAGTGATCCATCCACTGTTACATTGTCTTGGAAGCGTAATGGCGAAGAAATTTCAGTTAGCCGACGTAAGGCAGATGATGCGCCTATCCTTTCCGGAGATTACTCTTCAGAGACATTCTCTGACACTACGCATACTCTGGAAGTTACTTTAAATTTAAATCAAAAAGGTATCCTTGTTATTATGCCTTACACAAATTAGGTCCAGTTCCTGGAAATTATACTTTGATTGCAACAATGGGTGGGGTTACGTCTTCTGGTTCTGGCCAAGCATATAGTATGTTTTCTTTTAAGTATTTATTATGATCACTGTTGTGGGTTTGTGTAATTTTTTATCTTGTCTTAAATGGTTTTCACAGTGAATTCGTCCCTAGGTATGATGATCTGTAACCCAGTCTCAGGAAGCATTGTCAGATGTAAGGTCACATAAACTAGGTTCAGGCAACTGAATAAAATTATCAGGCATCTCCAAGTTGTGTCGGAAAGTCTATGAATGGACGAGTAAAGTCATGTTTCAGTTTGGAAAGGAAGTAATATCGTTTGCTATCACGTAAAATATGCAAATCTTTGTTTTCCATGATAGAAAACAACAAGAAAGTCAATAACGACTTAGTACAGTGTAGTACTCAGTCATGATCCAAGCCAAAACGGGACACGACCAAGTATTGTATTTGCTTGATAGTAAATGTAATTTGTAGTTATAGCTCGAATGGCTTAGTGTTTTAACATGTAAATTCGTAAAATACAACGAGAACGGATTAAATGATTTGTTTCACACAGAAATCCACTAACTGACCTTAGGTCTTGTATTTCCTACAAATTCAGAACTGACAGGAAGCGTGATGAATTTATAGTGCTAATAGTGCATTTCATAATAGTCATATTTAGATTGCGGGACAGGCAATATACTCATTTGGCAACCAGAACGTGAATATACTGCTGAACAGTTTTTATCCTGTTAATATGGCTGTAAAATGTCGATAAAGGTTAAGACAGGATTTGACTGCGGGTTTTTGATCATGTGTCTTCGAATCCTTGGTTGTGTCAGGACAACTTCCTAATTAGGTAAGGCATAGAATATTAGATAAATATAGCAAGTCTTTATCAGGCAATAGTTTCATAAAGTAGGGTGACTAGGACATGTGCTATATATGTTCAACCTCCGCTTAACTAAACTCACTGATAGCTGGAGTAGGAATAGAGATGATAACATAGTTCATGGACGAACCAATTAGATTTGAGGTAGCAGGTCTTGAATTTTGTTGCGAATTTCATTCGTTTGGTGAAATTTTATTTTGGCATTGTAGCTTATGTCATTTCGTGATAAAAACACTAGATCTAATTCCTAACCCTAACGTTCGATCCTGATTCTTCATACTAACACAACCCTCAACCATAGTAAGTAGTTGGACATTTCAGGGTTATTTTAGCGTTGCTCAAAGGTCGTCCATAATATATATCCTCACTGTGATAAATTGGAAAGGAACTGCAGTTGGCCATCACAAGGCATGGCGATAGTTCACAAAGTTGCTGGATGCTAGTCGGAGCCACGCTAGTAGATCCAAATGACCTTGTTCAGTCTTCTGAACAACTGTACGATGGTTAGGCGACGTGGCTTAGAATTTGGTTCAGTGACATCCAGTCTTTATCTTCGAATTGATCTTGGTTGACTGGTCCTCGTATATGTAGGTGAATGTCTCACCCATGCCACAGGTGTCTACTGATCTTCGTACTCTGTTCCCCATCGTCCCTAAGTAACATTTTGCCTTTTAAGACGCTTTGTAGATTATGATTCGATAACGGGTTTGGGGATTGTTAAGTTGTAGAGAGAGAATACTGGCAACACGATGTGATTGAGTAATAGCTGGTCGTTTTACTGAATTGTTGGCACGAGCCTTCGATTAGACTGTTATGAAAGACTACTAACAAGTAGTGTAGTTTTTTCGTCTAACCAAATAATACCCGCTTATAACAGTCATTTCGATAATGCAACGAGAAGACGAAGGCTATCAGAATTGTGATGTGGGCAATACATTTCGAACAATCTGATCACACATTTTATGACATTTTTATACGAAAACTAGAAGGTCATCTAGACAGACTAAAGGTGCGTCGTAACAGAAAACTAAAGTACACAAAAACCATGTGGTAACCACTCTGGATAACAAATCAGTAGTACCAGGGTAGGCTAAAGGTGAGAACAAATTGTTCTCGAACATATAGAGTTTCAGTTTCCGTATAGCCAAGGCTTCAGTAAACCTAATTATACGCCCTTGAAGGCTTTTGTACAACTATGATTTTTTACTTGATATCAACCTTATGACCAGTCTCAACCAAATGTTTCGCAATGGGGTAAGATGTCTGTCCTTCATGTGATCTTATTTGACTATTGGAATTCATTTGGGTATGTGTTCCGCCACCCTTATTTGCAGATCACAATTGCTCCTCTTTATGTACATGTTTCCGCACATATATGTAAATTGATAGGCACAGTGGGATGTGACAGAATCGCTCATGTGCTGTTTGAGTTTTTAGTGAAACATAGACCTTGTCTTTTCAGTAATGACAAGTTGGGCTGTATAAAATGTCTTGTTGATGACTGATTCAGGTCTCGGTTTCAACATGAGACTATTTGAGTCATTACCATGAAAAAAAGCGTGATTAAACATCATGTGCAATCAAAGGATGTCAGCTGTGTAGGTCACTTATCAAGAAAATAAGACTTGACCATTAAGCTTAGTTCTTTCCTACCATATCAACTTGACTCTGAATCAATGTGTCGCAAGTTCAAATCTCGATTTGATTTCAGCAACAGCATTGTACTTTCATTTTTGTGAATTGACTGGTCTGCTATATCATCTTATATTTGGGATGCCTAGTTCACCTTAATTTATGTTGTCCTTAAATTCAGGAACTAGAAATATTTAAGTGATCATAATTCATTCTGTCGACAAACGGACTGTTAATTGTTATTCTCTGTCTCCAAGGTTTGGTGTTTCATTGATGAACTGGAAATTTAAACAGTATATATTCCAATGTAAAGCACATCATGCAGGCGATTACCAGTTGTTTAATTTTTTACGGGTTACTTTCTAGTAAAAGAAATTGCTTCCCTATACGTATGATCATAAGGCTTCTATTTGCTACTACATACCTTCAGAGCAGTATCATACAGGATAAAATTTATAGATAAATCTGGAACATTCGAGGTAGGGACTAAGAACTAGTGAGGTATGGTACGAGGAAAGCGTAAAGTTACACGTTTACTTTATTTGTATGTAGTATTCTAAAAACGTGCTTATAATCTAATAGTTGCGTACGATTCAGTATTAAAGTACTAAAACATTAAATGCATAAGTAACAGCTATCTTCGCGTAAAAAACTGGGATTAAGAAAAACAAATTATAGATTTATTAATCCCCATTCTCCAAAATTGCCATAAAAGCCTTGTAGTCCTACAATGTTTCAACACACACTATCAAGCTGGTTTACTGGATTTTAACTAGCGTATGAAATAATTATTTCTTTATTTGTACTTATAATTTGCAGGTAGAAAACTATTCTTTCATATATTGTTTTCGCCCGCAGAATATCCTAAAATGATGAATATATTTTCTGCGTCGCATTTTTGTAACGTTTGTTGTAGCGTATGCCTAAGTAAGGTGTTGTACTCCTGTAATATAAAATAATGCGACTCAATTACTATACTTGGATTTGATCTGAGATATGACTATACTATCTGTTCTTCTAAACCTTATTCAGTGAAGGAAGTTCAGCCATTGTTTAGAGACTTAAAATGACATGTTTCAAAATCGCTCGCAGTGGTGCAGGTGCATCCATTATCTGTCTTTCAAATTCTAAAATTTCTTTTTATTTTCATGCAATTGGTTCCCTTTATGAATTTAAATAGAGCAAGAACAAACATTGATGCAGAATAGTATGAATTCATATTATTTCGAGGTTTCTCGTCAGCTGCTTACAAACCAAAATTGTGATAGAATTTTTACATGGAGATAGTGTGAAACAATTGACAGAAATGAGTGTAAATAACGTGATTACAATAATAACCATATATATATGCTAGAAACAGGTCAGAGGTCAAAAGAGGGGAGTTAATCCAGGGTGGGTGGTGTAATAATTTAGTGAAGTTCATAAATTGTGTGATAATTGTAGAGATTAATGGAATTAAATAATGATAAGGTAGATTACGTAATAATAATTAAATAGGGTTTGGAAAGTTGAGATGATTTAAGAGGATCAGGTGACAGAAATGTGTGAATAAAATTTATTTTAAGAATCAGGTAATAGGGGGGAGTATAAATTATCTTAGAATAAGTAAATGAATAAAATAACCAAAACACAAAACAAACAGAAACAAAAAGATTGCCAGGGTAGTGATAAGTTTATTAAAGTCTCTTTTTGGATGCATAAGTCCGGTTTCAGTTTCTTAATTGCAATGGCTTCAGCAAAGCGGAGAGTGGTAGTAGTTCTTTGTCTATTGATTATTTTAAACGCATGCCTAATATCGACGGTATGCCCGGTGTCAAGTAGATGCCGAGCTATTGCACTGTTAAAAGCTTCATATTCCGAAGAACTTGACGCTGCGAGGGACTAAAGCTTTTAACAGTGCAATAGCTCGGCATCTACTTGACACCGGGCATACCGTCGATATTAGGCATGCGTTTAAAATAATCAATAGACAAAGAACTACTACCACTCTCCGCTTTGCTGAAGCCATTGCAATTAAGAAACTGAAACCGGACTTATGCATCCAAAAAGAGACTTTAATAAACTTATCACTTGTTGATTTATATTGTCTTTATCTTCGATGCCTAATTCTTCCTATCACTGATACTGTTACTAACTCTACTAGTCTGGAATTTGGCCTGAAAACTTCATCTTTCTGTGCTGATGGAGCATGCCAACCTGAACCGATGTACGTACGTACAGGTTCTACGTTGTATCTGACTTATGGAAAGTCAAACCTCTTGTTTACCGCTATCATTTTCTGTTTGTTTTTGGAACTGTAAACTAGCTAATTATCTTAACAATTGAGTCAGTTGTCATCATCAAAAAGGTACAAGTATTTATAAATAGTTGTCTACGGAATATACTCAATATCCGTTAACCGTATACCACCAGCAACAGCCTACTGTGGTAGAAAACAAACCAGCTTCCATCTGAAGAGGAAATTAGGGAAAGACGTTGGAGGTGGATAGGACATACATTACGGAAATGATCAAACTGCATCACGAATCAAGCGCTAACTTGGAATCCTGAAGGGAAAGGGAAAAGGAAGGTCGAAGAACACACTACTTCGGGACTTAAAAGCAGACATGGAAAGTATAAATAGCAACTGGAAAGGATTGTCCGGGACAGGATGGGATAGAGAGTGCTGGTGGACGACCTATGCTCCTCCACGAGAGATAACAGGTGTAAGTGAGTCAGTTATTTGTCAACTTAAATCCATGCCACGTGTTATTTCATACATTTCGCTTGGAAATCTAACTAGTTAGAATTGTAGTCCTAGCCTCAAACTAAATCATCTTTCGTTGTTAATCACTATTACTCAGGCGCACCTGTTCTTCCACTATTTACTAAGCCAAAACGTGTCTTGGAGGGTGATATTATGCGGCTGGTTTGTCGTGTTAGTAGTTATCCTCAGCCATCTTCAGTAATATGGAGTTTTGCATCGATACAAGCTAGTCAAATGGATGATGACAATGCCATTAATACAGCCTTATATAATTTACTTCCTCTGTTGACCAATGAAACTCACTATGTCCTGGAAACAAGTGATGGTGGTACGCCGAATGATACTCTGCGCTTCTTGGATTTAAAAGAAAGTGATAATGGTCTGTATGCATGTAACGTTTCAACTGAACGCGGTACTGATTTCGCTTTGATGGTTGTCAACGTTAAAGGTAATGTTCAAGTTTGATTATCGAATTGTAAGTTTTATAACTATTTAGTCTTGATTTAAGATATCCAATAATAAAAAACCTAAAAAACTTTGAACGGGGCATAATTGTAAGTACATAAACTCAATTCACCGTATCGCAATTACAAGCAAACTGTTATTTGTAATTTCATATGCGATTTCTTAAATGATTGGGTTATACCACTCACTATTCTTCACACATCAACCTCTACTATCTCTAAAACTAAAATATAGTCAGTGTATTTAAACAAATTAATGTGCAAACTGTATCCTTATTGTATAGCCGTTTTAGTGGATTCCTTTATCTCGTTCCTATCCTTATTAACTCCATGAACCATGTTCGGTTGAACCTTTCCAGTTGATATGCGTTTACCGGATTTCCTGTCTTACACTTTACCTGGCTACGTTATAATGTATTTAATACCTCCATTATCTCTTCGTAAAAGTCAATTCGAAAGTTGTCGGATTGATTTGAGTTTATGGTAAACAGATACTTGATTCATTTTCTCAATTGAGTAGCTTATTTGCTAAGTTCAAACTGTTTTGCCAGAAGAAATTGCTTGTGTTGCTTTTACAAACTAACCCAATTATTTGTCTTCATAACATACTGATCAAGATATAGCATAAGAAACAGATAATATTGTACATAAAATTAACCCAGTAAGGATGGCTGTGTTAAACAAAGTGGACATTCCGCTTGCATTTATATTTACATGCTGTATGCTTTCGCACCATATAAGATAATGCTTGTAGAAACATACAAAGGGCTATGACTGATTTATCGCTTTTCATGTTTTGATTAGTAATTACCAAAGTTGATCAATGTTACACAGATAATAATGAGCAGATATTCCTAAAAATAGTTTTCTCCAAGAAAGAGGACATCAGCTACAGAATCGTCGAAACCAGGGAGTACTTGGCCAATTGTGTCCTAGTTTGGAACTCTTCAGAAATTCACAGTCAATTGACCCGTCCATCCGGTATAAGAGTTAGTACTTTAGACTTGGGTAGTAGTGCGTTACCTGTAAACCACACTGGGTTTGTGGGAGACCAATAAAGTTATGAAGATACCTTTACTCACTTAGTGCCCCAAAAGATATAAAAAGAATGAGTTAGTAGGACACAGAAACAAATATGTAAGAAATTTATGAGTTACTTGTTATTGTCAGAAGGGTCCATGTTGACACGTCCTAATATATATCTACAATTATGATAATGTAGGAAAGATAATTCCACGGTTCCAGATATAGATCCAATTTACTTGTATGTAATTGACAAGTAATATGCTGTATGACGTGAACTAAAACGTGTGCAACGGGATTGTTAGTAAACAGTTTAAAAAAGGCAGCCAACAAAGTCAGAAAAAGGTGTGTATGCGAACACTTGTAATTAGCGAATGGCAATCAGTAAGACAGGCGAAAAGCGAACATGGATAATAGCAGTCAACTTCAACAAGATTCTTTATTTAATATAATCCTTGTATACATTGAGCGGAATTATAAAAAACACAAATAATGAAAAAAATTGTACAAATTAGGTTCATTTCAACTATTCAGCTCCACGTGTTCCCAACTTCAATCATATATATTAAATAAACAAGTTAGACAGTCAAAACAAAAAAAAACTGTACATCGTAGAACCACTTACAGTAAATTCATATGTTTACCTCATAACTTCTTGTTTGGGAATTCTTGATGACCTGGTTTGTTGTTTCCTGAATGTCCGGTGATTAAACAAACGTTTCAGTAAAGAAATTTAAGTCTTGTTTTTTGCTTTCATTGGTATGAGTTTCTGCATAATAGTTTAGATTAAATTCAGTCGTATATATTTGTCGTCTAACCTTCCTCATTGAGTGAAATTAATCAATGTGGACAGCAAAATTACCAAGTGAACTTTTTTTTATCACTAAGCACAAATGAGTCAACGCCATATCATAGTAGGATGGTAAATTTGTGGTCAGGAGACTCGGGAGGTTTGAACCTCACTTTACTTGCGCCAGTTTGGGCATCTGGGTATCATCAGGCCCTATACAAGCTGATGTAGCTCGTAGTTGAATACATAGCTTTTGTTTATTACTTTTTTCACCATGGAACAAAACCATAGGGCTTGGATGGTGCTGTCTCTTATCCTCATATAAATTATTTTATAATTATATTCTTGACTTATTGAACTCATCAGTTTTACTTGAGTTTTTATAACCGCTGCTAAAATGATATGAATGCCATTTTCTATTGACTTTTTTAACCCGTCTGTCTCTCTATCCACTGATGATTTGACAGTGAATTTTTCGTTGATGATATTATTACGTTTAAAATCATAATCAACAGTCCAGAGTTGAAAGCATAAATATTGCTTGTTTATTTTTTTTTTTGCTTTTTTTTCAAAATTTATTCTTAACTGTATTTTAGATCGTTGGGCCGCTCTTTGGCCATTTATTGGAATTATTGTTGAAGTTACTATTTTGGTTGCCGCTATCCTATTATATGAACGTCACCAAATGCATACAAAACCAACTAATCTCAGCGCTAAATGTGATACTACTAGTGGTACTGGTGCAGTTTCTGGCCAAGATAATGTATCAGCAATACCTAATAATAAAATTCAAACCAATAATAACAATACAGGTCAAAATAATCTTACAGTTCCTGTTCATGCTGGTGATGTGCGTACTGAAAATCTTGATGTAAATGTTGAAGGAAGGTAAGTTCGGTTTCGTTAGGAGTAGTACGTCATACGAACTTATTTATATTGAATAGATATTCATTAGTCATGAGGAAATAAACTGTTGTATTTATCATTATTATCTGGCATATAAGTTTATTTTTTGGCTTCATATTTGCTGACTAGTTGGTTTGACTACACTTACTAACGCTTGTTACTCCTCGTGGAGGAGCATGGGCCACCCACTGGCATTCGCCACCGAACTCTGACAATGTCACTAACCTCCATGCCAAAAATATGACTGAAAAATAAGTAGATAAGCGTATACCTGGAGAGTGAGCTACGTTTATATGCATTTTAAGAAGGTCGTCAATAAATGATTTGACACCGACTACATGGGTTTATTTCCTTGTCTCTGAGTCATACTTTCTAGGTATATTACCATTCGACCCATCAAACTGGTGTAATTGGGTGTGGTTCAAACCTAAGCACGTTGAGCCAATAATCCTCCTCTTAGCATTCGAATGGAGTCTGTCGTAGACGTTTTTCTCATTACCTTATGCGTTTCTGCGAATTATATCTTACGTAAATCGCGTTTCTCACTTGTGGTAGAAACATCAAAGTTCAGAATACTGGAGCTTGATTATTTGCTAATCACCATGACAGATTTCAAAATGTTGACCTAATGTGTTATAAGTAAGAATTGTTTAAAATTCCACTATGCAGTTACCGTATGTCAAAAAGCACTGAACTGATGTTTCATCGTAGTTTGTGACTTTTTGAATATATACACACTGGCGATCCTATACTCTGGATCGAAATAGATGACTTTCATGATTAGGAGCTGAATCTCTATCTACTCCATATTAATGATCTACTGTCATTCGGAATAGTAGTGTGAAGTCCGAGGAAAGACTAAGAGAAACTACAGCTGTTACGGTTTTTTGTTCAGAAATTGGAGAAGGATGTATGAAATCTATAGTTAATGAGCCCATGTTTATTATTATTATTAATAATAGTAGTAGAAGTAGTATGGGAGACTTGTCGAGATTGTTGATAATTTGAGGAGATTAGATTAGATTAGATTATGGATTTATTTTGACTGGATAAATATTGATGATGACCTGATTTCTGCAATCTATATGAACATGGGATTAATGACTGATTTGATAGTAGTAAGAGTTTTAGTGCAGTCTTCAGTAATAAGGATAGTAGGTTGGTGAACCTGTATTAATCCTGACACATTGCTTTCCAGTGAAGGTCCAACTTCTTGAAAGTATTCACTGATAGGGCTGATATCACTTGTTCGGGTAAGGCGTTCCAATCATTGACGACTCGATGAGAAAAACAGAGCCCCAATTTAAGTTTACTAGATCGCGGTTTGTGAACCTACTTGCTATGACCTCGGAGATTATTAGTGCTGGAGGGAGCAAAAAGATAAGACATATTAACACCCAAATCATAATTAGAGATACGAAATGCCAGTATTAGGTCACCTCGTATCCTACGATACGACAAGGAGAAAGGTTTTAGGAGTTTTAAACGCTCATCGTAAGGGAGTCGAGGAATACCCTTCACTAATTTCGTTCCCACACGCTGGACACGCTCAAGTGAGTTAGTATCCTTTGCCAGACATGGGCTAACTGCTTGGATACAGTGCTCTAAATGTGGTCTTTCATAGGTGGGATATAAAATTCGAAACATTTCCTCGTCAAAAGGTTTTGAACGCTTGGTGAAGTGACCATAACGCACGAAAACCTTTGACAGCGGCTGCTTTGCAATACGTAGTTGTTTATAAGTCATGACTTATTACTCCTAAGTCTTTATGTTCTTGAACGCATGGAAGAGGTTTACCCTCAATAGTATAACGGTAACTAACACACTTCCTAGCATGGATTTCTAAGCCCCACTCTCGAGCCCATCTAACTAAATCGTCTAAGTCAGCTTGAAGATCCAGATGATCAGCCGCACTTTTTATTGTTCTCCAGATTTTTACACCATCCGCAAACAATAATGTCGACAACCTAAGCAACAGCGGTAACTCATTAACGTAGAGAAGGAAGAGCAGAGGGCCTAAGATGGTGCCTTGGGGTACACCACTTTTGACCGGCTTCCAATCGGATAGCGTTCCGTTGACCCTCACTCTCTGTCTGCGTTCACATAATAAGTTTCCTATCCACTCATGTACAGTACCTATTATTCCGAAGCTCGTGAGCTTCTGCATAAGACCTACGTGTGAAACCTTATCAAATGCTTTGCTAAAATCTATGAATATCACATCGACAGACAGACCGTTATCTAGGGCTGTTGTCCAATCCTCTCTCGCAATAAGCAAGTTAGTCAAGCATGAACGCTTGTTACGAAATCCGTGTTGCTCAGGAGCTAACAGATTTTGTAAATCTATGTGGCTTAGCAACCTAACCTGAATTATCTTTTCAAGTAACTTAACGACTATGCTAGTTAGACTGACAGGCCGGTAGTTAGATACTATCTGTCTCTGACCATCCTTAAATATAGGACTGACTATAGCGTCCTTCCAATCTCTAGGGAGTTGAGCGAGTGAAAGGGACATGTTGAAGAGTGTCGCGAGCGGTTTTGAAATAATGTCCGCAAGAGATGACAGCAACCGTGGATGTAACCCGTCAGGGCCCGGTATCTTACCAGGTTTGAGGTTAGTTGTCAACGGCAGGACAGTTTCCTCAGTCACCTGTACAGATCCAATGGTTGGTATCTCGGTGTGAGTGGGACAAGTATTTGTTACAATAAACGTAGAGTAGACTTCGCTAAAATAGTTTGAAAAAGTCTCAGCTTTTGCTCGATCTGATTCAGCTAGTAAATCTGAATCTTCGTGTAACAGTAACGGGAGAATACCATCACTACGTTTCATTCGCCGTTTAACATACGAAAACAATCGTTTCGGACAAGTATGGCTATCATATACTAACTGTCGTTCGTAAGTGGTACGGGATTTGGCTATGGTTTTCTTACAGATATTACGGAATTTTTGGTACTCACGCTTAAATGGTGCATGACCAGTCAACAAAAATAAGTCCTAGAAATGTTTCCTACGCTTTAACAGCTTCCGGGTTTCTTTATTAATCCATGGAGGGCAATGTGATAGCTTACGTGCCGACCATGGGATAAACGGCGACGTTACGGACTCGAATGTAGCCTTAAACTTATTCCATTCATCTTCGAACAATCCATCCGCGTCGACCGACCAATCAGTCAAGATAGCACAGTTTCTGATTGCCTGAATATTGGCTCGCCAGATATTGGGACGGGGTGGAGCAGATACGAATTGTATACCATGTGTCCTAAACTTAAAGTGAATTACAACGTGATCGCTGTTCACTAGTGGGGGAAGGTGCTGAATATCAAAGACATCCTCACAGTGGTGGGTGAGGGCGAGGTCCAGCAGTGACGGATCATGATTGAAATCAATATGTGTCGGTTTTGTGATACATTGTACAAGTGCACACTGAATAACGGTAGATAAAAGGTCGCTATCGAAACCACTACCTGGAGCTGTAAGCTCTATCCAGTTGATATGCGGTGCGTTGAAGTCCCCAATGATGAGACAACATTCTGCCATACTCCAAGAACAGATGTGTCTTAGAATAAAGTCGTCAGCAAGACAAAACGGACTACGGTATATTCCCCCTATAGTCACTAACCCATTTCTAGATTTAATCTTACAAAATGCAACCTCACATGTGCCACTGATATGAGCCTCAGATATGGTTGATTGTATACGAAAGTGATCCCTTACTTATAATATTATACCTCCCCCTTTGCGACTTGAAACTCTATCACTTCTAATACAGATATAGCCTGCAATGAAAGGAGAACAGTCTATATCTACTGTGAATCAAGTTTCTGTAACAACGAATATATCGGGATATAATTCTTCCACCATCAGACTTAGCTCGGACGTTTTATTTCTAAGACTACGAGCGTTCGTGTAGCACACAAATAAGGTGTTTTGGCAATCAATCGTTCTACCCATAAAGGCGTCGGAAGCATTGGCTTCCAAGAACTGACTACCCGAAAACCATTAATGGTAAGGTTATTATCGCAATTTAATTTGCGAGTCCTCAATTCCGTAAGAGCATTCTTCAACTTGATTCGATACCCAACCGGACAGTCTGGTCGAATACTGATATTTGAGTCACGAATTTTTAGTGCGTTTTTCAATAATATGTCTTTCTTCAAAACTCCCGAGAACCAGCTTCAGGATTCTTCTTTGTTGGGTCTCCCCTCCAACCCATTTACCAAGTCGTATTACTTTTGTAATATGTACCCCTGAAATCTCTTCAGGTAGTACATTTCTTACCACAGACTCCACTAACTGCAGGTCATGTGCATGTCTTCTAGCAGGGTCGTTATCTTTCGACTCCTCTAGATTCCAAATAATTAAACTAGGGAGGGGTTTAGCTTCCTTTGAAACTGTGTTAACAGCTTTCGACCGTGACGACAGATCCTATATATTAACTACTGGTAACTTACAATTAGCTTTTATTGTAACAGAGTCCTGTGAGTCGAGCGAGTGGCTCACAACAGTGTTAGACGAAGCTTTACTTTGGGACTTTGGCGGATTGGTCTGAGAGTCCATCAAGGACTTATCAAGTAAACGCTCATTAGTTTTAGCTGTCTTTCCTACTTTTCTGCGTTTTCGCGTCATCCATTCTCCATCAGTCGAAACATTTACATTAGAACCACTCGGGACAGTAATTGTCTTACCTGGATCACTAGTCGCAGCTGTAGCAATATGGCCACCAACCTCTAATGAGGTGTCACTCACTGATCGTTTCAGGGGAGAACGTTTAACTGCGAGTTGCACATGTAGATGTCTGGCTTGCGCCGTGACAGCACTTACGACACTAACGCAATCTTCGCCATCAGTACCAATGTTGCCAGTACGGCCCTCACCAACCTTCTCATTAGCCAACATCAGGAGGCTAACTGCTTCCTGAATGAGTAATGTTTTGCTCGAGCAACAAAAACTACGAAGCCAATGAGAGTTCGGCTTTGAGAAC